TATAGAGGTAAGTAAATCTGGCCCTACGATGTGTCCCGCACCTGGAGATGGTCCTTCCCTCTTCTGTATAGAGGTAAGTAAATCTGGCCCTATGTTGTGTCCCTCGCCTGGGGCCGGTCCCGAGTTCTTTTGTATAAAGTTAAGTAAATTCGACTCTACGTCATGCCCCTCGTCTTTGAAGGAAGCTTTAGGAACAACTTGAGGGTGCCTAATTTGCACTCTCGAGGCTTCGATCAAATGCACGTCCTTGTGTACTACAAGCACAAAAAGTAAGAAAACATTTACCATGGTCATCTTCATAATTGAGGTAGGAAACAAGAAACCAGGTATCTTAGATAACTCAAGGATGCTTTAAAATTTACCTAGGCTATTTATAAGCATTTTAAAAGGTGTTTAGTAATGCATTTAAATAAATTCACTTTTTTAAAAAGGAAATAAATTCACTTGTGAAACTCTTTACTAACTATTAATGAGAGTAATTAATTAGTATTTCTGTTTTAAAAAGAGTGAGTTTTTTTTTACTTTTTTATTAATTTATTATATTTAAACTTTGGGCATAAGGATAAATCTTTATATCAATACTTCATACAATAGGACATGGATTGTTATTTCAAGTTTGCAAGACTTTTATGTGGAATAAAGTGGAATAGGTCTGTTTAATCTATTAAAGATTCAGATGTTGCCTCGTAATAGAACTATTAAGAGATAAACAAACAACCCCTACAAATTCATTAAAACAACTTGATATTACTCTAGATTAAATATAGAAAAGTATTACACATATTTTTTAACAAAAGTAAAAAAGTTCTCAAAATTATACAAACATTCTTGTAGGGATGTCTGATTCAAAGTCTTTCAGACTAACATTTGATACAGTTATAAGATGGAATTAAAATCATATAACATTTTTAAAACCAATATGAAATATAATCGAAATGAAAGTCAAACAAATTAAATAAAAAATGAACATTTTATTTTATTTTAATTTAATATTCATATTGTTATATTTTTTTTATTTTTGTGTTTTCAACTTTTTCTTTTTGTTGTTTATTGCTGCTAAAATTTTTGCAACAAATCTAGGTAAGATTTCACGTTTAAGATTCGATTAAGTGAATAGTGTTGCTTACTGTTGCGTATGTGAGTTGAATTGTACAGTTAGGCTTAAAGATAACCAACAACACTGTTACGACCAACTTTTATGCTATCGAGCTTAATATCAATGGCAATCAAATCATTTGCAAATCTTGTAAATCCCACATCTTCATTGGGTATCTGAATGAAATAAAATATAAATAATTTTTACATTTGATTTTAGTTTAATTTGTTAAAGGGTAAAATGGTAATTTTACTAATTTTAATCTTTTATATTATCTATTTATAACATTCATCAAACGATCTTTTTTAAGTATCAACTAAATCATATAGAATCTGTTAATAATTTTGAGCATTTAATCATTCTGTACAAAATCATGCAGAAATGTATCAAACACGATTTGATTCAAGAAGCATTTTCCATTGTATGTGGATAAACAAAGAAACTACTGATAGTTCTAAAGTCATTTTTACATCTTATGCTTTCTGAATTTATATAAAACTACTCGTAGCAGAAGTAGTAATCACTTGAAATGGTTATATTTTCTAAATTTGTATCTCAAATGATTGCTCGATTTTATATTAAATGGTTTATGGACAGTATTGTTGTTACTTTGTATTTATATGAAATTTTAGTAATAAGAAATCATTGAACAAATTCTTTTTTATGTTATCCTACGTGTATATTGTGTAGATTTATTGATTGATAACATTATGTTCAACATTGTTAAAAAAAAACTCTAAAATTTCAGTGTTTTTGGATGTTTTCGTCCAAGACATCATAAACCTTAGAACCGACTCAGTGTTTTACGTTTGGTGATAATTTTTAAACTGTCACATAGAAACAACAACTTAATTAATTAATAGGTACCCATGCCTTCATTTTGGATATTGATTTCATTATGAAATAATATGATTTCCATTTTTTGCGATGTTTCGGTATTTTATATATATATATATATATATATATATATAATATATATATATATATAGAGAGAGAGAGAGAGAGAGGGATGTTATTCTACACATTTTGCCATTCCTACACCCTATACAACATTCATCTCAACCATTCAATTTTTAATCAATTAATTGTTTCCTAATATAAAGTATTAATCATAATTAATAAACTCTATTCATATTCCATAAATATTCAAATCATAATAAATGAACTCCAATCATTTCTATAAATATCTCAATTAATTGGGTTGCAAAGGTTGTACAAATGCACAAGGTTGTACAAATGCACAAGGTTGTAAAAGAAATATACCATATATATATATATATATATATATATATATATATATATTCCTTCTACCTTATTGTTTTTACTAGATATTTTTTTTTAATAAAGAGGGCACTCTTGAGAAGATAAAATCGACCAAACAATTGCACATTAATTGAAACTAAAATAATTAAGAAAAGACATTGTGTCAAATTATTTTTTATTGTGCAAGAAAAAGAGTAGATAAGCAAAACTGATGAAAAAAAGTGGATTTAGCTTAACCAAATAAATATGGACCTATACTATGCTCCGCATCTGGGGATGGTCCTTTCTTCTTCTGTATAGAGGTAAGTAAATTTGGCCCTACGATGT